CATTGCAGCTACTTGGGTAGTGAATCAGCAGATGGAAGATCTTTCTCTCTGTAAATCTACCTTTCCATTAAAAATAAAAACATCTTTTAAAAATATCTTTTCAGAGTATGTGCCACAAGAAGATATAAGCTGCCATAAACAAAAAAAGAGTTTTTTTTTTTATCAAAATGCAAATGATTCTACAGTGTGACAGGAAAACAACAGAGTTTGTAGGACGTTAATAGGGAGGTGATTAATACAATGACGTAACATACAAAACAGCAATATTAATGTCTTGTGAAATTTAGCATTTATCCAATTAAAATACATACAAATAAGAATGCAAAGAGTATGACGGTGGAGTCCAAGATTCACACAGTACAGGGAAAAGGGCAATAGCGATCGTTTGCATTGAGCTGAAGTTAACTAAAGATGGGCCATTTAATCTCTCTCACATATTGACAGTTGTCAGGTTGAGGAAAATAGGACTATTTGTAAAAACGGATCAATTTAAAAGGCAATGGGGAGAGGCGGTCATGGTTCAGAAGAAAAGAAAAACCAGAAGTACAGTTGGTATAAACCGAACTAACTGCATTAGGAATCCTAACAATTAGAAAAGAATTGGAACAGAACTTACTCCAATGAAAAGGCAAAACAGTTAAACTAGATCAAAAAACAAAGCAAATACAGTCAAATCTTACAGTGAACACAGGAGATAACTTTAGGAGACGTTAGCATCGTTCAGTGTTTCCACTGACTGAGGAAAACAAGCATGTGGCCCAAGTGTTGCCTAACACTGGTACCCATCCAAGATACAGCTTCAGATTTTGTGGTGCCAGTTTTCCATCACCTTATAAACTCCCATGGAAGATGAAGAAACCAAGACACAGTGAGCTTAAGCAACTTGTTAAAGTTACACAGCTACTCAGTGAGCTTGCCTATGATTTGAACACTGGGTCTGAATCCAAAGCCTGGGATTTAAAGATTAGAGGACGTGGGTTGGGGTTCTTCTACTACCTGATTTTGCCTACTCATCTGTAAGCAGCAACGATGGCAATATTCATCTCACAGAATTTTAAGGGACAGAATCTATTAGCGTTCTAGTGTTGCTCCCGATTCCAGCTGCTGTGTACTCAGGGAGGCTGCAGGTGGCGGCTCCAGTAACTGGGTCCCTGCCCCACAGTGCAGTCCCAGAGTCGGTTCTAGCTATGGGCACTCAGCCCTTGCCCAGGCCTAGCTACTGCAAGCGTTTGAGGAGTGAACCAGTACATGAAAGTGCTCCTTCTGCTTCTAAAAACAAATATTTAAAAGGGAAGGAGGACATCAACACATCTCTTTTAGTGGTTGTGAGAATAAGAAAAACTTGTAAGTATAATGAAAACATTTTTAAAAGACTTGATCTAATAAGCACATACAATGTGCACATACATACACGTAACACAGGGGCCTTCAAAAGCTCCGTGGAAAAAGTATTCTTTTTTTTTCTCCACGAACTTTTTAAAACTCCTTATAATAGAAATCACCCACCTTTCAAATACAAATAGAACATTTGCCAAAATTTTCACATGGTAGGTCATAAAATAAGTTTCAACAAATCTCAAAGAATTGAGATAATTCAGATTATATTTTCTGGTCTTGAAGAAATTAAGCTGAAAATCAACTGTAAAAATAGAACAACAACAAAAAAACTGCCTGAAAACTGGACATAATTTTAAGAAAAAATCAAAACAAATTAAAAAATATTTTAAGCAATGATAATGAAATGTTTCAAAACTTGTCAGATGAAGCTAACACGGTGCTCACGGGAAGCATAACCTTAGACGCAAATGTAAAGCCAAAAGAAAGGCTGAAACTTATGTCTCAATCCCAAGAGGATAGAAAAACATAAAACTACAGCAGAAAAAATAATACAATTAATTGAAGAGGAAAACAAATATAGAAATTTTAAGTTAAACATGATTTTAAAAATTAGTGTATAAAAACTAATTATAAGGAAGAAAATTAAAATGAAAGGAGGTATATACAAAATATTTATTACCTTCAAAAATTTAATACTATGAACAACTCTGTGCCAAATAGATGACATAGATAACATGCAAATTCCTTGAAAAACACAAAACTGCGAATAAAATATATATCTAGTCCTGTATTTATAAAAGAAAAAAAAGCATTGTTAAAACCTTTGAATGAATCTAGGTAAAAAAAAAAAAATTAGACACAGTAACTTCAGAATAGTCTTTCAAATACCTAAGCACAAATACTTAAGGAAAACAGCATAAGTCTTACACAAATTCCATCCAGAAAGTATTAGAAAGCTTCCCAAGTCCTTGACTTGGATGTATTGGGATCCCATATAGATGCCGATTTGTGTCCAGGTGGCCCACCTTCCCATCCAGCTCCCTGCTTCTGGTCTGGAGAAGCAGTTGAGGACGGGCCAAGGCCTTGAGACCTTGCACCTGCATGGGAGACCTGGGAGAGGCTCCAGGTTCCTGGCTTCTAATAGAATCAGCTCTGGCTGTTGCAGTCACCAGGGAAATGAATCAGTGGACGGAAGATCTTCTTCTCTCTCTCTTCCTCTCTTTAAATCTGATTTTCCATTTAAAATAAATAAATCTTAAAAAAAAAAAAAAGGTTCCCTTTCTATGAGGCCAGCACAACTGGAAGAACCAATCTCAAAAACGATAATTATGAAAAGAAACTATGTGTCATCTCTGCTCATGAATATAGATGGAAAAACTTCAAGACACTAGCAACTAGGGACAGGTATGACAGGGTGTTTAGAGTAGAGGCGCATAGTAGTCAGGAGACATATCCCAGACTGGAGTGCCTGAGTCTGGTGCCCGGCTTTGGCTTCTGGTCCTGGACCCTCACTAACGCGGACCCTGGCAAGCAGCAGTTTCTGCCACCCACATGGAAGCCGGGGACTGCCAAAATGTACATCCGAAGTGCTAATACAGTGGTGTTACAACTGTTCTCTGCAACACAGATCCAAAGATCCTATTAAAAATCTCAGAGACAACTCCCAGTATACTTTGGCACTTAAGAGATCCTCACAAATTCGTTCCATGAAGTAAACTATGTGGGGGAAACATATTTCAGACTTTATAAACGTGCCAGTATAATAAAAGCAACTCAAGAAGACACAGCTCTCCCTCTGCAAGTAGCAGGGTCCAAGACAGGGCTAAAGTAAACTTCCAAAAAGAAATGTATCTTACGTAAAATGCCCAAACACTAATACTTTGTTGAATTTTTTCTTGCTAGTTCAGTTCATTCACAATTTAAGGCCGTTTTTTGGCCATTTAACAGTGAAATGGGGGCAAAAACTTAAATGTAACACAATGTATGTGATGTAACATTGTGATATCACAAATGTCCCCACAATATATTAATACCATTGTATTTATTTGTGCAATACAAATGGCAGTACAATAAAAGAATTATTTTTACTAAAAATGAGAACTTTCACAATAATCTGCTCACCATTTAGGGCTATTAAATTGTGACTAATCTTTAAATACAATCACTGGTACTCTTAGCTTACGCTTGCTAAAATGATACAACTGAATTTCTTTAAAAAATCAGACTTTCTACCTTATTAATAGCTGCTTAAAATATTTAAACAAAGGGGGGCGCCGGTTCTAATCCCGGCAGCCCCACTTCCCTTCCAGCTCCCTGCCTGTGGCCTGGGAAAGCAGTCGAGGATGGCCCAAAGCTTTGGGAACCTGCACCCGCGTGGGAGACCCAGAAGAGGCTCCTGGCTTCAGATCGGCATAGTATCGACCAGTTGCGCTCACTTGGGGAGTGAATCATCGGATGGAAGATCTTCCTCTCTGTCTCTCCTCTCTGTATATCTGCCTTTCCAATAAAAAATAATAATAATAAAAAATAAATCTTTAAACAAAGGGGAAAAAATAAACACAAAACTATCAAAAGCCAAATGCCCTGGAACTCTGTGTACACAACCATGGCCATCCATCAATCATGGCTGGTGTTACTTAGAATGATGGACAGGACCGATACTACCTAGAATTCCAGTTTTGCAATACCATGAGCTGGACAGCACTGCTCAGTTCACACTGATGACCAACAAACATCCATGGCAAAAATAGCTCTGGCTTTTAAACCTAAGAGGAAAATTAATAGCCCTTCTCTCTCCATCCTACTCAAACCTGTGGGACCAGCAGGGTAGTTAAATGTCAAGGACTGAATCAAGTCAAACAGTCATGGTGATAAAGAAAAGAAGAACTATAATATGGTACTATTACTTTTTCTGTTGTTTAAATAAAGTTCTGCTTTTGACCGTCAACTCTCAGGGTTGCTCTTTGCTGCCTAATACCATTTTGTACTTTGGAAACTGGTGCACAAAGTAAAATATTAATCCTCTCTTCCAGAGTTGTTATGGGACAATTGAATAGAAAAACAACTTAAAGCAAGCATGAAGAGTTAAATGAGGGAACTTAAGAAAGTTTGGGTGCAAAAAATTTTCTTTTTTCATAATATGCATTTTTCATGAATTTCATTAAGATCTCTTACATAGACAGATCTCAAAGCTGTTATGAAGCAAAATAAACTTTTTAATTCAATTTTTCAGAAATTCTTTGCAGTCCCTGTGTATATGGTTTACATAAGCAAATCTGTGAAGCTTGTACTTCAGAAACGTTTTGAGGTAGCTGGGGAACTGTGGTGAGGTTGCCCTGGCAACGTGTATCACTCGTTCACTGTATGTGTAACTTTAAGAGCCCAGAATCCAATCTCTATAGAGTTTTCTACCCTGCCTCAAAACATTCAGAACTTCGAGATCTGGAATCACCAAAAGACGGCTGCCTCCTGACTTTCAATTTACAGTTTTAAAAGGCTATGGACACTATCAGAACTATGAAAAAGCAAAGGCAATACACCCCAAATGGTGAATGATCATTTTGTTGCTAGCAAGATTTTTAGTTCATTATGAGAATCTGTGCTTAAACCTCAGGAGTTTGGTTGTATAATTGAGATGTAAGCAAAGGCCAACAAGAGTTACGCAAGTTTCAAAACTTTAATCAAGAAAAAAAGACACTTCCAAAAATAAATGCCACATAAATGTTAAGTTTTTTAAAAAGTGAAAGATGTTCAAGAAAGAAAACCCCTTCTCAAAGTATGCTAAATACTTAAAGCTAAAGATGTTGGATGTTCAAAATCAGGGAAAATGTAGCTTATAGTACGACAGCCAATGAAATAGTGTTTTTCATGTTATGATTCATTCAAGATATCAATAAAAAATTTTTAAAGATTATATGTTCTTAAACATCCATTTCACAATTCATTTTATTATTTTACATTGATTCATTTAATTATTTTTAACACATAATTTCTAACAACAAGGTTACTCTGTGCTTTAATAAAATAGTGAACCATGATCAAATACTCAAGTGATTTAAATGCTTCGCTAATTGACTACACCCATCACAGATTCCTGCACCTACACAGCTACTACAATACTCAGGAGAGCTACAACTGTTCTTAAAGATACTCACTCAAGTTTGATAAACATGCTAAACATTAAAGAGATGTATTTTTCCCAATTTAAAGCATTAGAGCTTTCTAGTTTACTTTAAAATCTACCATCTGCTTATTTAAACATTTGTAGCTGGCAATTTATAAAAACAAGGAAGCATCATTTTCTTTGTAATTTCTATAATAAAAAGTTCTTCAAATTGTGATGGCTATAAAATTCTGCTTTAGAAACTCTAAATTTTAAATGCTTAGGATTATATTGCCTATTGTGTCTAGAGCAGCATTCTATTCAATTAATCCAGTGATTCTTCAGATCTATAAACACAAATTTTCTCAGGATCGGTGACAATGGCATACACTCAATTCAGTACCTTTGCAAATAATCCACTTTAGATGTGATTTAAGACAAACTCCATCTTCTAAATTCTCTACAACGGACCAAAGTACATCAACTTACAGACAATTTAATGAAGAGATAATAACCTAAAACAATTAAATTTATAATTAATGATGATTAATGCCAAACACAATAGACCTCATTGTCACAATTTGGAAATAATTTCCATGCAAGTGTTCACATAGAGTTTTAGTCCTTACTTATAAAGTAATTTTCACTTTTTTAAGTAATCAAGACAAATAGTAGAAAAAGCATTTTATTTATATGGAAAAGCTACATTAAGATCTGTAAAAGGTGTCAATATAACATTGCCTATACAGAAAAAATTCAAATGTGAATAGCAACAAATAAAAGTTATACATCTTCCTACTTAGCAGTGCAATTAATTCACATTGCAATAAAGTTAAGTCAAGTATAACAAAATCAAAACAAGTGTTTCTCCATAATCAGTATACTGAGAATTACAGTGTAAAGATCATTTCATTTCAGGTTTAAGAAATCTGCGATCGATCTACACAACATCCTAAGACAAGGCAGACACAGTTAATCATTTATCAGCTGTTGGGTTTTTCCAATACTGTTCACAGGAAAAAAGTAATGAGTTGACATACATGTAAATAGAATATATTTAGTCTATACAGTAAAAAAATACAAATTATAAAGTGAACTAACAAAGAATGAAATCTGAATACAGATTTATAAAAGTGACGACATCTTAGACAACACATACAGTATTTCTCATGTAAAAACATCTAGTTTCAGCAAAAAATAATTTGGTTGCTTTTCAGCTGCATTGTAGATCTTGTAAGCTGAAGATGTAGGTGTCCACATATCTTAAATACCACAATAAATGTCTCTCAATGCATACAAAATGATAAATGCTCTCATCACAGTCTTATGGATATTTTTGGAAGTTTGTTTTGTCTTGCTTCAGAAACACACTTATGATGGGTAAAAATCAAAAAGTTTCATGGTACAATGAAACAGTAAACAGTGCTCAATTTACTGCTAATGTTGAAAAAACCTAGATTTTACAGTACTCTGGTATATGAAAAATTTTTTTCATTTTACATTGCATATTTCTGAGTCCATTCTCTTGCATGTCTGTTGTATCTGTAGGCATACAAAAAGGAGAGAGTAAAAATTCACAAATTCAGTCTTTGGAAGCAACTGTCTGAATGAAAATATATCCTATCTTCTCGTGCCTAAACTCAATAATCATAGCAATTACTGTTCAATGTGACTCAGATATATACATAATTAAAGCAAACTAAATCACTTTTATACTCAAGGCTTTCTGTATAACAAAAACACACCTAAAACATAATAGGATCATCTACAATTTGCAAATGAACCTACAGTTCTAACATGATGAAACAGCTTGAAACTTAAGTCAGTTTTGGGTGGGTATGAAGAGAATTTCTCTTCCTAGGAGAAGAAAGGGAATATAGTGTTCAATGTTTCCAATAACTAAATTCTTTATTTTTTTATTTTCTGCCTATTACTGTCTATGTTTATAGTTAATGTGCAGACACAGAACATGTTCTGTTAAGCAATAATAGGGAAAAGACTATGAGATTAAAATGAAAGGTTTAATATATTGGAAAAAGGTAAGCTGAGTATGACTAAAATATATTGATAAAAAAATAAAAAATATATTGACAAATTTTTATATTTTGACAGACTATTTAGAGATGCCCCCACGTAGACACCAAGGCAAGGAAGCACTTACTTTTCTTTGTCTGATTTATAGATTTGTGCAATATCTGGTACTAACGGATCATCTGGGTTAGGATCACAAAGTAGAGAACATATGGACAATAAAACTAGATTTAAAAGAGAACAATAAATTAGATAATAGTTCTGCTTTCCACAAATACTTGTGAAAATAATGTTACTGAATACAGTTACTGAATCTATAGAGAATACAAAATAGAGTGAACACAACAAATTACATTTTATACTAAGCTTGCATGACAGCAAATGGCTTAAATTTTTAATCACCACACAATGTATATAATGCAAGATCACATCATTTGCAATTTTAAATTCTACATGAATTTCTATTTACTAAACCTACTAACAAACCCAGGAGACCTGTACAAAGCAATCACACTTTAATGAGCAGTTCAAACCAGTGTAGATACTGTGCTCATGCATTCTCTGGCTTAGGGCTAGCTACAATAAGGGATGATTGACGAGTTTTTTTTTTTTTAATGAGTACTTTTATTTATATTCGTATTGCATGATTTTAAAAGATACTAAAACAAATACAGGAGTGGCTATCTTTAAATCACTTGCATATTTTAAAATATAACTGAAGATTTAAGAAAGCAGTTATTGCTACACTGTCAAGACACTATTGCCAGTGGCTACACATAGAAGAAAAACAAATATCTAAATATCTGAAGTTGGAGGCAACAAGGATGTGGGCTGCTTCTATTGCATGTCACCAATTCTGCGAGAGTGTTCGGGACCTTTCAGACCTCCACATCCACCCTCCACCACAATCCTAGCATCTAATATGCAAGTTCTTCAGACAGTTCATGGGAAGTGGGCACTACATTTTAATTCCATTTCCCCATGAATTTGCTGAAGTACCTTCCTACAGAGCAGAATTGGCCCCTAAATGGCAGGGAAACGAGCTTGCTAGGGACTAAGGAAAAAAAACCTAGCATTTTACTCATCTTTCCGATCTTCTATGCACCCAATGTTAAGACTTTCTCGGTTCACATCTCTATAACTCATGACAAAAAGCTAAACAAGACATTTAAAATATAGGACAGTCAAAAAACATACAAACAAATGAGCAAGTCAGGAGCAACCCTGTAAAATAAGCAAGTCTTCCACCCTGGCTTCAAGTACACAAAACAAATGTCTAAGACAAGGAAAAAAAACTAACAGTTAACATTCATCTGAGAGCTCGCCCTGTACCCCGTGCATGGTGGCCTGACAGGTCCCTAGCTCTTGAACTGCCCAAGGACAGTTCAGAGGCACCAAATTGCCCTTTACAGACAGGTACTCAGCATCCTGGCATGCTGCCATTCCTTTACATTTATAAGGACTTAGCTGTTCATGCCAAATGACATTCATTTTGTAACACCATTCCAGAAGACAGCTGATCAACTTGAGCAGCATTGGGACACACAGTCATAGCCATATCCAGTATATAACAGTTACACATTCTGAAAGTTTTTATAATGCCTTTTACACCCTTTACCTAGAATCTATATGAATTTATTAGAATCTAGATAGATATTTTAGGTGAGTAATTTAGGTCAGAAAGCCACTATACACAAATAATTGACCTGACAGGCCAATATGTTTCTAACACTTGAAACAGTTATGGCTGTTAACCTTGCTTCCTACAAACATTATCCCTTTAAAAAGCTATATAGCAAGGGAGGGAGGGAGGGAGGGAGGAAGGAAGGAAGGAAGGAAGGAAGGAAGGAAGGAAGGAAGGAAGGAAGGAAGGAAAAAAGGAAGGAAGGAAAGAAGGAAGGAAAAAAGGAAGGAAGGAAAAAAGAAAAGAAAAAAGAAAAGGAAGGAAGGAAGGAAGGAAGGAAGGAAGGAAGGAAACAAGGAAGGAAGGAAGGAAACAAGGAAGAAATAAGCAAACGGGATCAGTGCAGTAGTGTAGTGGTTAGTCCTAGTCTTGCACGTGCCAGGATCCCATATGGGTACCAGTTCTAATCCCCATGGTCCCGCTTCCCAGCTAGCTCACTGCTTGTGGCCTGGGAATGGAGAGCGGCACAAAGCCTTGGGACCCTGCACCCCCACTGGGAGATCCAGAAGAGGCTCCTGGCTCCTGGCTTTGGATAGCTCAGCTCTGGCTGTTGTGGCCACTTGGGGAGTGAATCAACAGATGGAAGACCTTTCTCTCTGTCTCTCCTCCTTTCTGTGAATCTGACTTTGCAATAAAAATAAATAAATCTTAAAAGAAAAAGAAAAGCAAGCAAACAAGCAACGAAAAGAAACAACCACAAATTCTTCCCATGAATCTTTCAAGAGAAACATTTTGTTCAATATTTTAAATGGGTGAAATGTGGTACTTACTTCTGCGACAAATGTTGCTAATGCAAACTGTCAGGTTCTCTTCTACTAGAGAAACAAGACACAAATAGAGTGCTGGCACAGTGAACAGCATTGGCTAATGAAATAAACAGGACTGCCAATGTCCTATGTGCAGGTCTGACAATTTAGCAAAGAACAACGCCGTGTATCCGGGAACGCTGAGAATCAGCCCAGATGCTTCGTCATATCAATTATTTTAAGTTCAGACTAATTAGTTCCATGTACTAGATTATTCCAAAGGGCGAAATGATGTTTTTTGTTTTAAATATCAAATAGGAAAACTCCTTTAAGAAGCAAAAGAACCATAAAACTTTACTCATTATTTCTGATGGTACAATTTAGTGTATGGCACAACTGGTTCCAAATCCTTTTGCTACTGTCTCTTACTCCTCTTTCTTTTTTCAAAGTTAAACTCCAGGCTGAAAGGCTAAAATGGCAATAGGCTTATCCTCAAATATCTGGTTCCAGTATTTTTACTGTCTTATTTCATCATTGAGATTTGTACATCCATACCTACTCTTGTTCCCCTGAGTTACGTGCTGACAGCTGGAGGGACTGAAGAGCAGGAGAGTGAGGCAAAATTGAAACAGGAGAGCAAGGCAGATGAGTTTTTTAAAGCTTTGGCCTCTAAGGGCTGATGCCGAGGCACAGAGGATTATGTGACTACCTGTGATGTCAGCTGGTTCGTGTCTTAGCTGCTCTGCTTCTGATGTAGCTCCCTGCTAATGGCCTGGGAAAGCAGCAGCAGACGGCCCACGTGTCTGGACCCGCTCCACAGAGGCAGGAGACCTGGATAAAGCTCCTAGCTCCTGGGGAGTGAACCGGTAAGACTTCTCTGCCTGTTGCCCTCTCCTCCTCTTCCCCTCTCTCTCTTTCTCTCTGTAACTCTCCAATAAATCTTTTTAAAACACACACACTCTGATCTCTAGACATTTGGGCTTAATTTTTTCTGTATCACTTTTATCATGTATTGGAAATCTAGTAAATAAAATTACCTTTTGATACAGTGAGAGCTGGCGACCACTGTGACCTCAGGATGTCGAGACAAATACTGCCATTACTGTTTATATTTGGATGGTAAATTTTTGTTGTGAATGCAATCTACATATAAACAAAACACAATAACAAAAACATTACAATTCACATGCTGGGAACAAAATAGAATCAGTTGCTCCAGGGTCAAATAGTGACAATTTTCGTGGCTTTGGAGGAGAAATACATTCTCAAAACACACTTGGCCTTTACATTGTGCAAAATGGCATTCTAGCTACTGAAGATCTGAAACCAAGTCAGTTCCTCTCCAAAAATTACTAAGTACTTTGCACAGCAAGGTAAGTCTACAGTAGCTGGCAGGACGAACTGAGCAGCACCTGGAGTCATTAATCATGCCTTTCCTCAACCCTGAAGGACTAATTTTTTTCCTGATTATCTGTGATACTTGAAGTCACACCTGGATCGAAAACCAGGGTGATGGTCCTGTTTCAAGGAATGCTCAAGAGGTCTCAGCTTATTACCTGTTCTAAGAAACCCCCAAGAATCCTAATCTTCCATTAGAGTTGCTGCCACAGCACTAATATACACAATGTTAATCAGGCTTTTAAAAATCTGAAATAATTGGGCCCAACGCAGTAGCCTATGGCTAAATTTCTTGCCATGCATGGGCCAGCATCCCATCGGGGCCCCGCTTCCCATCCAGCTCCCTGCCTGTGGCCTGGGAGGACAGTCGAGGATGGCTTGAAGCATTGTGACCCTGCACTGATGTGGGAGACCTAGAAGAAGCTCTTGGTTTTGGATTGGCTCAGCTCCGGTCATTGTGGTTACTTGGTATATGAATCATCGGCCGGAAGATCTCTCTCTCTCATTCTCTCTATATCTGACTTTCCAATAAAATAAACAAATCAGTATTTTTTTAAAAATAATTTATTATTATTAAACCTGAAACAATTATATCCTGAGTGAAACAATCTGCTCAATTTTTTCCTTTGTTTGGTATCCTCACTATTTGTTTCCTTTTCAGATCTTCAAAATTAAGTTTTTAAGTAAGAATGTGCTCTTACCTGCCCCATTACAATGAATAAAGGAGATGGCCTATTGACCTGTATTCCCCAACATGGCAGAACATGGCAGGAGCTCAATAAATGTTGAAAACTGAGGTGCTTCAAGCTTGGAAGAAAACCCCAGGGACAGAAAGTCTAAGCTCTGACCCCAAAGACTTCCCAACCACAGATATCTAGTAAGGAGGGAAAGAAAGGCAAGGAACTTCATCGACGGCACAACAGACGCTGCCTTGTTATGCAGAGATAATGCAACTTTGAGGAAGGGATCCCATTTTAGATTCAGTGACTTAGAGCACGTTAACATACCCACCACCTTTAGCATCAGAAACTATTCTTGGATACAGAGTACAATCCCTGACATGAGATCTGCATACATTCACAAACAGACCTTTGGTGGCTTAAAAGGATAGTCTGTTGGAAAATGCACAGTGAGGAAGAAGACTCCACCTTGATACGCGCTGTCAGGCTGAAATGACAAGACACTGTCATTAATGCTTGATGACTGCACTTAGCTCTTAAAACAACTGCCCTGAACAATTTTAGGCTGAAATGCAGTCATTGTGTCAAACACTGAAATCATCCACTCTGAGGACAGATTTTCCTTTGCAGGTATCAAAGAGGGTTTTCCAACAATCATGGTGACATCACAAAGTACAAGCAAAACCAAAACAGGGCACACATCGTGGTGTGACTTGCCCCTCTCCCCCAACAAAATCTTTTTATTAACACACATTTTTAAGAATTAACATACACACAAGACTGCTGGAAGGAAAGATTTTTTTTTCTACAGTGATAATCAGTGTAAACAAAATCGAGGCTATTACTTATTTTCTTAGATATGCAAAATACACATGAAATTTAAGTTCTGGTATGTATGTATAAAATATGTATAAAAAATTGTATTAAATGAAAAAAAAATGGTATGAAATAAGGGCCCAAAATGGAGATGAAATGAAGAGACCAAATTTTACAAGTTATCCTTCAAGTCTTCATTAACAGATAATAAAACAATGTAGAAAATGAAAAATCACAAGACAAAAATATATATATAATACTCACGATACTATTAAACTAGATATCAATTTTATAAGAGGATTTACATTTGGCTACGTTTATGGTTATTTTAAACTACAACAGTTTTAAAGTAATAAACAAGAAACAGAGAGGTCAACGATGTGGCATGATGGGTGAGCTGCCACTCGTGACATTGCCAATGCCTGGGGTGGTAACTGGAGATCCAGCTCCCTGACAATGTGCTGAGAAAGCAGTAGAATATGGCCCAAGTGTTTGGGTCCCTGCACCCACAAGGACGATCATTAAGCAGCTCTGACCATTCAGGGAGTGAACCAGCAGATGCAAAAATCTTTCTCATCTCTTTCTCTGTATCTCTAATTTTCAAATAAATAAATATTTAAAAACAAGTTAGAGAAAGAAAAACGATAGCAAAAGATAGCTAAAATTCTAACTTAACTTCTTCATACTTAATTAAATACATCATATTATATTAACATTTTACTAATCATGGTAAAATTATTACTCCTTAAGTTTCAGCATATAAATTAGAGGACTAAGCTATGTAATTTTGTTTACTTGTATTCATGCCTAAATTTAGTTCATCAAAAATCGTGAGGAATGAAGATGGTAAGCAAACTAAAATAGAAGATATGGCTTGTTTAGCTATTCCAAGCATACTACACCCTATGCTAAAACAAAGAACATATGAATAATTATAAAATCATTTACCTAAGATACTACAATTAAAAAATTAAGGGTAGTCCTTTACATTATAGCATTTTCATGGTTCTTTGTGACTAATGAAAAAAAAGCAAACAATCGAGTTCTTATATGTTGCATTTTCAATAAAACAATGTAAAAAAAATTGCAGCAAATACTATTTTGACATAAACCTCCACGAATTCTACTCCAAAAATCAGTAGTTTTCTGTTTTTAAAGTCAAACAACAGGTAATATGATTAAAACTCTATAATTTGCTAGATAAGGCTGTTCCTGGGGGAAGTGAGAGTTGTCCCACAGACACATGTTACTGCTATACTCCCAGGAAGAAAGCAGATTTCAGTTTCAGTGTCCGTTCTTGTTCAATCAGCTTTTTGCTCACAGCAATAAATGCTTGTTTTCAAGTCACAACTGCTTCTCTGGCACTGAAAAAAGTGACTTTTAAGAGATAATATTAAGAGGAACCAGTTATAAAGTAGTAAGTAATTCTGAGTCCAGGACAATATAAAATTAAAAGCAGCAAATGAATAAGTGGCAAAAACAGTGAACAGTGGCAAAGAGAACCCTGTAATGTTATCAATTCTCCTTCACAAAAAAAAACGATGACAGGACACACTGCAAATTGGTATTTTCTATTCACAGAAATTCCATCAGTGGGTTAATTAATTTTTACTCTACCAAAACTATGGATGTGAAAGTGATTATGCTTAGTTAAGCACAACTGACTCACTGTATTTACATGAAACAAATAAAGCATACACTTAGCTTGGTTGCAAATACCATGTTTAACAATCAAGTATCTGGCAAAGGAAAACATCACAGCAATCCTACGGGCACACTTAAAGAACAGACTGATGGACTTATGACTGCTTATGAAGGACTATAATATTGTAAGAATATGGGGAAAATCAGTCAGTGGGTGAGAATTTGGGGGGTCCCAGATCCTATGGATTGTACCATAAAATTAAAATAAAAAAATATTTTTTAAAAAAATAAATAAAAGATATGCCACAATGCTACAGAAAATCATGATTCTCTGCCTCTCCCTAACTCTTTCAAATAAAAATAAAATAAATATTCATATACAAAAAAGACAATCATAATTCCTCAATTATATTTTGTGTCCTGGATATTATAAATCACAAGAAAACTCAATTTTAGTTGCACTTTTGCATTTCACTTTGATTGCTGAAATGGGAAATGGCAGCACTGAGGTATGGGTGAAGAAATTAATTTCACATATATGAATCATACTTACAGGCCCCATAATAGTTGCTTGCCAATGGAACACTGAAACAAACAAAGGAGTTTGAAAGTCATTAGCATCCAAAGCTGCATTTTTAATGGTAAAATCTCAGCAACAGAGTAAAGCTTACAGTCATCTCCCACAGGGCCAGCAGAACAGTGGGCGGGCGGGTCACGCTGTAAGTCACTTAACTCCTGAAAAAAAAGCAAAAATACTTACAGTTAACTCTTCTTCCAAGGAAACAAATATGAAAATCCATTAAGACAAACACTACTAACTGTCCTTCAAAGTACTGTGGGCAGTTTTCTTAAAAGAAGTGTGAAAACACAGCATGTACTTTATTATTGGGAGGGTCTGGAATAAGGTATTAACTTACTTATTAAACAGATTCATGACTCAAAAAGAGATTAGTGGATCAAAACACTTTCTTTATCAACGTGACACAAAATATTTAACGAACTTAACGAGTATCTCTATGTATAGTAAGTTAAAAAAAAAAAAGATTCCAAAAGATTACAACGTAATAAACGAGAGTGAATGGCTCCAAGAAATAGATATTTAAGGAAAAACTGAAGGTGAGGCAGGAAGAAAGAAGTTCAGCCATGTTTTCACACGCTCTTCCCCTCTAGGAAGCAAGGAAGAGCTGGCCAAGGCTGGGACTCCCAGTCCCAACACTATGGCTTCAGGCCCTTGGGAAGCTACTTAACTCCCTTAGCCTCGCTTCAGCAGAAGCTGATCATCCACACACAGAAACGCACAAACTCAGTATCAAGGACTCTAACTGAAAAACTTCACTTAGCCTGAATATCGAGGAATACCCCTGAGGAAGTGCCATTTCAGCTAAAATAAAGATGAACAGGAGTTAATCTGGGGGAGGGGGAGCAATGAGGGAGATTGTAGAGTGACACAAGATGAGAGGCTGCCAGTTAGAGTCGGCTAGGCAACAGCAGCACCACACGCTGCCATTAAGTATCGGGAAGGGCTTTACAAAGGGCCAAATTCTGACTTACAGGACAGTCTTGTGGGAAGATTAGGAATGGGAGAGACAGAGACTTCAAGATTACTTACCATAGATACGAAGGAGGAAAGGAGCAGGAAGGAGGAATATGAGATAAAATGGTAGATGTGAAATATTCTGAAGGGCCCACCTATCATGGGATTTGACGAGGAATTGTACATACTGACTGAGGACAGAGGTCAGAGAAGATGATGGGTGGAAGCCACCACTTACCCAATGCTAGTCATCTCCAACTGAACTGATGAACAAGTGATGGTCACCATGTACCTACTAAGGGTGTAAGCGGGACCTTAGGCCCAGGCAGGCAAATTTCTCACTGCACAGTTTCACAAACATTCAAAGGCTACTTATTGATATGGAAGACTATTTAAAGCAAACTAGTTTGGAGGGAAGACATGCCAAATGTGTGATCCTGGTATCACCAACGAAAAAAAAATTACTCAACATACAGGTCTAGATATTAAAAAAAGAATGAGGTCAGAATTCAAAAAACATTGTGTATACCTGGTATTGAAGTCTGTGAAGGAATCAGGGTAGAAAAGGGAAGACACTGACTCCAGCAGTTAAAGTTACTTGTGTCCCATATCAGAGTGGTTTCAATATCTGATTCCAATTCCTCATTCTAGCTTCCCGATAATACAAACCTGGGGTGGTGGTGGGCAATGGCTCAGTTAATTGAGTTCCTGCCACCCATGTGAAAGACCCAGATTTTGTTCCTGGCTCCTAACTTTGCTACTGGCCCTGGCCCTGCTATTGTCACTACAGACATTTGAGAAGCAAGCCAGTGGATGGGTTCTCTTTCTGTCGGTGTATCTCTATCTGCCTCTAAACAGAGGGAATGAGAAAACATTCTTTTGTTGGAACACGCAAGGGTACTTCAACAAAAAAGTGTGGGAAATGGAATTGTCTGCAACACCAGAATGCCATAAAGGCTCTGATGGAACCACCAACTGTTCCACTTTTGAGACAGTTCACTGCTAAAACACCTGAGAAAGCACCAGAAGATGGCCTGAGCCATTGGGCCTCTGCAATCCACGTGCAAGACCTGAATGGAGTGCTAAGCTCTCAGCTTCAGCCACTGTGGACACTTAGGAAGCGAACTCACAGAAAGATCTGTGTCCCCCTTCATTTTATTTATAAATAAATAAATCTTTTAAAAAATAACATGGAATTAAGGACAATTTTATTTGGTGCACAGGCAAATTTGTAAATTCATCTATTATCTTTCTTGTAACATTTCCCTTTAACATCTATGCATTTTTTTAAAAAAAAAATTGTATTTATTTGAAAGGCAGATAGACAAAGAGGTAGAAGCTGAGGTTGTCCATACTGGGTCACTCTCCAAACACTGGCAACAGCCAGGGCTGGGACAGGACAGTGCCAGGCCAAATCTAGGTGCCTGGAAATCAACCTAGGTTTCCGATGATGTGGCTGGATGTGAACAATGACTGCTGCCTCTCAGGGGCAGAGTGGGGAAATGCCAGGAAACTGGACTGCAAGTAGAATAAGCCAGTAGGTGATCCAGGCACTTGGAAATGGGATGTGGGCATCCCAAGCAGACACTGCTCACTGTGCCATACACCTGCCCCTCCTTGAGCTTTTTGAACTTATTAATACTGTTTTTATCAAAGAGATCATCAGTGGTGAATCATATCTTTATTTTTATACCAGTAATTAAGGGGAAAGTTTCCAGTTAATTTTAAGACACTATCAGTGCTAAGATGCATATAGACTTCAGAAATGCTAAAATACTAAAGATACACATTTTAGAATCACTGCAATGAGTTCATTGCTCTAATACAGAAAAACAAGCAGACGACATGCCATGGAAAGACCTTCTTCTAAGAAAACCTCACGTGGGCTACATAACTGAACCAAGTGCAAACTCAGGTCTCTTCCTTGCAAGCCCACTCTTCTTTTCCAGTACACCTTGGGACTTTCATTTTTGTCTTTTTTAAAAAATAGTTAATGCTGCTTCTTCCATCCATGTAAAATCAAATTATAAACTTTGGTGCAAAAAAAAGTTTAAGCCATGCCTAGCTTTTTCATAATACGGTTTCTATGCACTGATATGTGGTTAGTTTTGTGGCACAGAGGGTGAAGGTATGATGATACTGGCAACTATATAGGCACTGGTTTGAGTCTTGCTTGTTCCACTTCTGATCCAGCTTTCTAATGCGCCTGTGAAAGTAGTGGAAAATGGCCTAAGTACATAGTCGCCTGTCCTGTATGCAGGAAACCAAGAAGCTGTTGAAGCCATTTGGTAAGTGGGGAAAAACCCTCCTGGGAGTCCACAGAGGCTTAGCATATTAAACCTCCACCTGTAATGCTGGCATCCCACATGGCGCCAATTACAGTCCCAGTTGCTCCAATTCTGATTCAACTCCCTGCTACTGGCTTGGGAAATCAGCCCAAAGCCTTAAGTCCCCGCACCCACATGGAAGACCCACAAGAAGCTCTTGGCTTCTAGCTTTGAAATGACTCAGCTTTGGCTATTGTGGCATCTGGGGAGTGAACCAGCAGATGGAAGACCAGTCTGTCTCTCCATTTCTTTCTGTGACTCTGACTTTCAAGCAAAGAAAAGTCTTTAAAAAAAAAATCCTTGTACACAGAAGGATTTATCTATTACTTATGTATAATGATTAAAGCTACACTTTGAAGATTTTTGTCTTTCTTTTTCCCAAAAAATAAAAATTAAGAGAAACACGTAAGTTGTTTTAGATTTATTTATTTGAAACACAGAGAGAGGGAAAAAGAGAGAGGGGTATTTTACATCTGTTGGTTCACTACCTTAAAAAGGCCCAACACCTAGGGCCGGGCCAGGCCAAAGTTAATACCCTAGAACTCTATCCAAGTTTCCCAAGTGGGTGGCAGGCGACTGAGCATTTGGGCCACCCTCTACTGCCCACCCACATGGACATCAACAGGAAGTTAAAGGGAAAGAGGAAGTGCAGTGGCAGAACATAATCATTTAAATATGTTAAAAAACTGAGGAAGAACAGATCCTAAATCACAATCCCACTTTATAATGTGCCTTAATGCCAGTTTCCTAATTTAAGATTTTAAAAGATTGCTTCTGAAATTACTCAGCATGTTGTTTTCCTTGTGGTTCTTTTTATTATATATTTTCATTGGAAAGGTAGATTTACAGAGAAAAGGACGGAAAGCTCTTCCACAGGCTGTTTTACACCCCAGATGACCACAATGGCAGGAGCTGAATCAATTCAAACCCAGCAGCATCTTCCAGGTTTCCCACAGGGTCCAAATCCTTGGGCTGTCCTCCACTGTTTTCCCAGTCCACAAGCAGGGAGCTGGACTGGAAGTGGAGCATTCCAGACACGAACAGGCACCTATATGGGATCCCAGTGTTTAGAAGTGGAGGAATAGCCAGTTGAGCCACTGCATTGGACTCTACAGCATGTTTTTCAGCACAGTCATGTTTATTTATTACTGAACAGGCCTATTTACAGAGAGGAGAGACAAAGATCTTCATCTGCTGGTCTACTCCCCAAGAGGCTGCAATGGCCATAACTGAGCCAATCTGAAGCCAGGAGCCAGGAGAGCCAGGAGCTTACGCCTGGTATTCCACACAGGTGCAGGGTCCCAAGGCTTTGATCTGTCCTCTGCTGCTTTCAAGGTCAGTTCACTGAGTCAGAAATGAGTTCACTCCAAGCTCAGCGTATGCTCAATCCTTTCCCTTGCCTTTGCCTCCTTACGCAAAATGGCGCCCAATTCAGCTCTTCGGGGCTGACTGGGCTATGAAATCCACGCTGTTCTTGCACTGCCCGTATGGGATCTGTTGCTCTGTCTCTGCTCCTGATCAAATCAAACGGACCAGCAACACAAACAGTTCTTTGTCTGGGTTCACTTCCCAAGCTCCAGTGAAAGTCCCTTCCTGCCTGGTTGCTGGCGGAGTTCCAGCTGCTGGTGGAGTTCATATTGCTGTTAGCTGAATGCCGCTGGAGTATCAGTCACTGCAACACCACACTGTTGTGTCCTCTGCTTTCCTGTGTCTGTCAGTCTCCAGGTACTCCTCTGCTGTTGTTCTGTCCTTTCCTACTTCCTGAAATATGTCCTCTCTGCTTCATCCTGATTAAATGTTTTTCCATCTGTTTAAACATGTCCTTACCCTATTCGGCCATCTTGATTCTCTAGGCTGTCCTATTTATCTGCTCTCAAGGTCATAAGCAGGAAGCTGCATGGGAAGTGGAGCAGTTTTCTACACGGGACTTCTTTGCCCTATTTTGAACTAGAAAACTACTGAGTTCAAAGACAACAGTCTCTAATTGCAGCTTTAAACAATCATTAGTGGGACTGGCTCTGTGCTACAGTGGATTAAATCACTGCCTGCAATGCTGGCATCCCATATAGAATCAAGTTCAAGTCCCAGCTGTTTCACTTCCAATTCAGCTCCCTGCTAATGTGCGTGGGAAACCAGAGGAAGATAGCTGAAGTTTTTGGGTATCTGTCACCCATGCGGCAGATCTAGAAGGTACTCCAGGCTCCTGACTTCGGCTTGGCCCTGCTTACTGCAGCCACAGTCATCGTGGTTATTTGGGGAGTAAACCACTGGATGGAAGATCTCTCTCCTCCCTCTCTCCTTTTCTTTCTGAAACTCTGCCTTTCAAATAAACAAATCTCCAAAAAAAATTTCATTACAGGGCCCAGCATGACAACCATAGGGGCTAAAGTACTCGCCTTGAACACGTCGGGATCCCAGATGGGCACTGGTTCTAATCGCAGTGGCCCCACTTCCCATCCAGCTCCCTGCTTGTGGCCTGGGAAAGCAGTCGAGGACGGCCCAAAACCTAGGGACACTGCACCCGCATGGGAGACCCAGAAAAACCTCCTTGCTCCTGCTTCTTATCGGCTCAGCTTTGGCTGTTGTGACCAGTTGGGGAGTGAATCAGTGGACAGAAGCTCTTCCTCTCTCTCCTCCTCTCTGTATATCTGATTTTCCAATAAAAAAAAAAATCTTTAAAAAATTTCATCAGTGATGTGCAAGCATATATTTTACATGAGATTTTAGAAGAATAAATCAGACACAAGCATGTACTTTTATATTTGTTTCCTGCTAAGAAAAACATTTTAGTAAGAAAAGCTTTAAGCCATATTTAAATTTCAAATGTTAGAATGTCTTTCAAATTTATTTTAAAAACTACACATAGGGAAGGTATTTGGTACAACAGGTTAAAATGTCATTTGGAACAATGGAATCCTATAAATATTGGAGTGCCTGGGTTCAAACCTCAGCTCCACTTCTGATTTCAGTTCCCTGCGTACTTGGTCCCTGAGAGCCATGACAGCACAGCTTAATTAACCTGGGTCCCTGCCACCTACGTGGGAGATAGGAATTCAGTTTTAGGCACCCGGCTTGGTCTGTCCAGCCTTGGCTACTGTGAGCATTTGGGCAGTAACATTCCTCTCTCTTCCTTTTAATCAACAAAAGCAAATAAAGAATGTAATAATAATAATATGCATAATTAAAAAAAAAATCTTGATTCTACCTCCTCCATTAGAAGAAGTTAGGCCAAAGAAAAGTAAGCAGAAAGAATTCCTGCAAATTCCTGCAAGGCCAAGTTACTGTCTAGCCCAGGAAAGAGCCATAGGATAGTATATGAGACATACTTAATGTTCACATGGTTGACTGTAACTAAAAATTATGGTTAACATTTTGGCAAGGAGACTTAGCCATCCCAGACTTTTTAGTAGAGTCTAGATTGTGGAAGTGCCAGTCCTTTCTCTCTGTGGGTGTCTGGAAAATATGCCCCATTATAATGCTTGGAAATATGATGCGTATGTGCAGACAAAATAACAGAACACAAAACGTATATGAGATAGCCTGAGCAAATGAAAATACAGATCTTAAATGTGAAAAATGAGATCTCAGAAAATTCTGAGACATGCTAATGCACTGAAAACATTTGACAAACAAAAACCACAACCAACCAAACCAAAATCGTCCTCCTTTTGCTCTTGGTCTATTCAAGAGCCAGAACATTTTACATAACACAATAAATCAGGAATCATTTATGTTTTGTCAAATTCTCTCTTTTGGTGTGGTTTGCTCTTTTTTTCTGAAACTGTTTTATTATGTGATTTATGCTTTTCTCTGCTCTAACTGGCATTCCTATTCATCTACTTCTCATACAGCCAGATGAGGTGTTAAAAATAATGTAGCAGTTCTTACAATTATCCCAAAAAAGGAGACAATAGGATTAGCAGTATCTTCCCTTGCGTCTCTCCTTTGTTAAGTCTGTAAGAACTAGAATTATACAACTTGCTCAAGACCAAAGGATTCTTGCAAGAGTCAAAGCTTATCACCTTATTCCCAATTGCTACTGAAAGTCTCCCTGAAGAAAATGTGGGACAGCAGACTCCCACTTCTTTAATATTACTTTCAATTCCACCACTGCTCTGAAATTCTGAAATCCTAGATGCTCCTTATAGGACAGCTTCCTAACTGTTTCTTGACCGTTTTAGGCCTCTTGCCTTGATCTCTTTACGGCCATGGTTTTGTACTAAGCTAAAAGCTGTCAAAGATACAGCATGAGAAGCCATTCATTTTTTATTAACTGTCTTATACATATGTATGAGTGTGAGGGTGTGTGTGTGTGTGTTACAAAAACAAAACAGAGATTTAAAGGCAAAAAAGAGTATGCAACGTACAAATAGTCAAACATCTACAAAACCATTAGTGAGATGAGATCACTGTCAACAGATAAGAATATTTCAACTGGGAAATGTGTTCATCATCCACTACTGGAGGGAGGGTACACTGAAATACCTTCCTCAGTAACACAACATGGTAATAACAGTGAAAGTATAAAATGCATGTTTGGTCTCAGACCCAGCAATTCCACCTCACAGAAACAATTACCCAGGTAGTTAAACCTATATAAAAGGATGCTCATTGCAGTATGTTGGATGAGGATGAAACGCTGAGAATAATAAAAAGGCCCATCAGTAAAAAATGGTTTCTTAAGATTATGTAGATATTATGAAATATTGAGTAGCCATCAGAAAGAACAAAACACATCTATGGAGAATGAAGAATGTTGACTGACTATACAGTGGTTGAATAAAAAATGCATTTGTGGGGCTGACATGGTGGCTCAATAGGTCTGTAACACCACCATTCCATATGGGCATTGGTTCATGCCCCGGCTGCTCCACTTCCAATCCAGCTCCCTGTTTAAAGATACTCATTTATCTCAACATATATTACACTGCTTACCATAATTACCGCAAAAAAAATCAATGACAGGACCTGGCATGACGACTCAGTGGCTAAAATCCTTACCTTGCATACATTGGGAATCCCATATGGGCGCCAGTTCATATCCCAGCTGCTCCACTTTCCATGCTGCTCCCTCTTTGTGGCCTGGGAAAGTAGTCGAGGATGGCCCCAAACCTTGGGACCCTGCAACTATGTAGGAGTCTGGGAGGAAGTTTCTGGCTCCTGGCTTTGGACTGGCTTAGTTGCAGCCACTTGGGTGAATGAATCAGCTGATGGAAGATCTATCTCTCTGTCTCTCCTCTTATTAATCTGACTTTCCAATAAAAATAAAATGAATACTTAAAGCAAACAAAAAACAATGACAGTTCAACTTTTTTTTTAAAGATTGATTCATTTTTGTTTGAAAGGCAAATTTACAGAGACAAGACAGAGAGAAAGATCATCTGTCCACTGATTCACTCTCCAGAATGGCTACAATGGCTGGCACTGGGCCAGGCTTAAGCCAGGAGCCAGGAGCTTCTTCTGGATCTTCCATGTAGGTGTAGGGGCCCAAGAATTTGGTATTTCTGTCACTGCTTTCTCAGGCTATCAGTAGGGAGCTAGATGGGAAGTAGAGCAGCCTGAATTTGAGGCACAGTAATTGGAACTCAATCTGGCACTATAATAAAAGACTGATGCCCATTTGTAATACCAAAATTGCAGGCAGAGGTTTAACCTAGTACCATACAGCACCAGCTCCAATAGTTTAATTCCAACAGTTTGTCAATACTTGGCATTGCTTTCATAATAACCTTCTTAAGGTATGGCATTTTATTTCATTTTCCTTCTTATAAAACCTTTACTGGTTCCCCACTATTTATTAAAACCCAAACTACCAATGAACAAAGGTCATGCCAGTTATTTAGTCTCAAATCTACATTTTGAATTTGACTCCACTTCACAAACTTGAGTTGTAATTCTCCAAAGAATCCACTTTGGTTTTAAAATTTTTCAGGAGGTCTGTGATATCAACATAAAAGTTTGTAGTAAAACTAAGGCATTATTTGTTGATTTGTGACATGACTCAGAATAATGATATCTGAAAACATGAAACAATGCCACTTCACTTTTGATTTATTTTTCATAAAAATGTAAATGCTTTACTGAACATTTTTAATTTCTGTCTTAATTTCATTAGACACAATCTATAAAAACAAGGCTTTCTGGAATCCTCAATAGTTTTCCGAATATAAAGAGATCTTGAGATCAAATGTTTAAGAACTGGTGCAAACTGGCTAGTTAGCCCACAGATGGCTAAGTTTGCTGGTGTGCATCATTTTCTATCTTCTAAAATAATCTTTTTCTAGTCTCTCCATGTCCAATTTTACCTGTTCTTTTTCACAGAGGTTATCTTCTCAAGGGTCACTTTCAGAAATGAGTTTTAGACTAACATCTGGATCAAATCTGGCTTCTTTACACATCCATTAGTTGCATGACCTTGGGAATTGTATACAAACTCCCGAGGCTGAAGCATGCCATTTGTAGCATGAAGATATCAGTGACTACTCTGAGAACCTGATTGACAAAACCATCTATTTTAAAACTTGACATGTATAATAGATGTCTAATGTTAATTTTTTCCTATCATTACATGATCTACCAGAATATATTCAAACCAGAACTTCTGGGGTTGGCATTACACTGGCAAATTCTATCATAGTACTAGTTTAAGTCCCAGTTATTTCACTTCCAATCCAGTTCCCTGCCAAAGTATCTGGGAAGGCATCAGCTGACTGACCAAAGCGCTCTTATCACTGCTGCAGGAGACCAGGAGGAGGTCCTGGCTTCTGGCTTCAGTCTGGTCCGGGGTCAGCTGTTGTGGCCATACGCGAGTGAACCGATAGAGAAGATCTCAATCTTTATCATCCACTATCTGTCCTGTGGCTCTGCCTTGCAGATAAATAAATTAATTTGAAAAAATCCCAACTTTTAATCTCATACTTTCACCCCAATTCTGCCCTTCAGAAGTGTAAGGATTTCATGTAATGATATATGATGATGATGCTGGTGAGCATCGTGGTGTGGGAAATAGTCACTGCCCAAAACACCAGTATCCCAGATGGGCAAAAGTCCATGTCCCGGCTGCTCCACTTCCAATTCAACTTCCTGTTGAAGGCCTAGGAAAAGTCCAAGTGTCTGAACCCCTGTACCCGCATGGGAGCTGCTGGCTTAAGACTGGCCCAGTGCTGGCTGTTGTGGCCATCTGGGGAGTACAGCAGCAGACAGATCTCTCTTGATCTCTGTGTGTCTGTCCCTTTCTGTAGTTCTGGCTTTTGGAAGAAATCGATTTTTTTAAGGGAGAGATTAGGACACTACTAATAATCCTCACAAGTCATCAGATAGGTATATCTGTTGATGATTTGATGGGGTATCAATTTCTGGAACTCACGAGTGGAAAAAAATTTATATGATTAGTTTCATGTTATAACAAAGAGGCCTTCTACATTCTTAGAGGTTTAAAAGTAGGTATGAAGTATAACAGGTTAAGCTGCCACCACTTTGTAATGCCAGCATCCTACATGGGCATGAGTTTCAATTCTAACTGTTCTCCTTCCAGTCTAGCTCCCTGTTGCATCTAGGAAAGGCGGCAGAGTACAGCCCAACTGCTTGGGTTCCTGCACCCACAAGAAGCTCCTTGCTCCTAGTTCTGATCTGACACAACCCCAGCCATTGCAGTTGTCTGAAGAGTGAAGCAGTCAATGGAAGACCTCTCTCTCCTACAGAAATCAATTCTAAATAGATTGCAGGCTTTACTTTTTAAAGCCTTTGCTTTTTAAAAATTTATTTGAGAAACTGGATGACTAGTGAGATCCTCTATCTCCTGGTTTACTCCCCAAACACCTGCAAGAGCCAGGGCCGCACCACACCACAGCTCGGAGCTCAGTTAGTCTCCTGCGTGGGTGGCAGGGACCCACCATGGAAGCCATCACCTGCTGCTTCCCCGGGTGTGCATTAGCAGGATGGTGGAACCAGAAGCTGAGAGGGGCCTGGACTGAGAGCCGAAGAAGAGCATTCCACACAGTGCTGTGTTCACTGTGCCAAATGCCTGGGCTCTTTTCCTGCCTCTGGTTCTGCTAACGCAGACCTTGCAAGGAAAGCAGTTGGATTTCTTCCACCCACTTGGCAAACCTGGATTGAGTTTCTAGCTCCCAGCTTTGGTTCCTGTGCCATTTGGGAAATCAACTAGCAAGTCAGAGTTCTCTCTCTCTCTATAACTCAAATATTTTTTTTTTAATTTGAAGAAAATAGAAAATATTTTCATGATCTCAGGATAGGCAGATTTTTTTTTTTTAAAAAGGACATAAAGAGCACTAACCATACAAGAAAAAACTGAAGATTTGGATGTGATTAAAAGTAAGAACATCTGCTCATCAAGAGGCACATGAAAAGTGTGAAAATGCAAGCTACCAAGTGGGACAAAATATTTGCAATACATATATCTGACAAAAGTCTCATCTAGAACATGCAAAAAAAAAACCCTACAGATTACCATAAACATGTGATTTAGGGGCAGGCATTTATTGCAGTGGTTAAGCCACCACATGGAAATGCCCTTATTCCGTCCCAGAGTGTCTGAATTTGAGTTCTGGCTCAACTTTGGAACTCAGCTTCCTTTTAATACATGCTCTGGAAGGCAACAGATGTACAGAAAGTCTGTACAACTGACTTTCAAACAAAAATAATAAAAATAAATCTTTAAAAATTAAAAAAAAATCAAATGTTATGGGTCCTTGTCACCCATGCACATCCAACAGAACACCCTGACACCTTGTTCACATTCAACAGAATAGTTAAAATGCAAAAAACAAAAGTATAAACATGGCTAAAGATGTGAAACGACAGGAAATCTCCTACACTGCTGGTGGAAGAGGAAAACTGGTCAGCAGTAACCTTTAAAGGTAAACACAGAAATCCTGTGTGACCCAGCAGTTCTGTCACAGCAGCAGACATGTAAAAATATGCTGGTCACAGTGACATCATTTCTAACAGCCCCAAACCTGAACAACCCAATATCCACCAACAGTAGGATGAATAACTTGTAGCAGCACCTTCATGCAATGAGAATGAATGCAAGACAGCTCCACGCAATAAGACAGATGAATCTGACAAATACGAGTATTTTTTGAAGACTCCAATCAAGCACATGGCCTAGTACCCTAGCCTAGCCCTACCCCGGACACTGATCTCTGCTGAAAGGAGCAGGAGATTTTTTTTTGTATTATGCATATTATTTTTCCTTAACATGATAAAAATTTTGTCTCTCAAGGATTTTTAGGTTCCTGTTTTCTTCTTATTTGACTGCATTTGCTGGAAGGTCTGGTGTACTGTTTGGGACTATGTGGCTGCAGGGATGCTCTTTCGAAGTCAAAAACGATTGCTAGAAGCAGTCTAGGCATAGGTGAGCAGTGAGCGACCCTGGGGAAGGAGGTCACAGGCTGGGGCTGCACAGCTGACAACGCTGCGCCACCGTATGCTGCATGCTCCTGCTTTTGTTCTTTAAGGAATGCCCCTCAGATGTACCAAACTGACTTCTCTGACTGTGCTTATTTATTTTAAAGTTTACTTATTTAGAAAGTATAAAGATGGGCAGGAAAGGGCAAAGACAGAGAGTGGCAGAGAGAGAGAGATCTTCCATCTGCTGGTTCACTCCCCAAATACCTGAAACGGCCAGGGCTGGGCTCTCAGGAGACAGGAGCTCCATCCAGGTCTCGTACAGGGGCAGTAGGTATCATCTACTGTCTCCGAGGGTGTGTATTAGCCGGACGCTACGTCAGCAGTAGAGGATGGGCATGATCCCAGCTACGCCCACTATGATACAGCATGTGGGCATCTAAAGTAGCAGCTTAACTTGCTATGCCACAATGCCCTACCTGGATGACTTACTTAAAAAAGTGGGGGGCGGACCCGGTGCAGAAGCCTAGTGGCTAAAATCCTCACCTTGCATGCACTGCGACCCCATATGGGCGCAGATTCAAATCCAGACTGCTCCATTTCCCTTCCAGCTCCCTGACTGTGGTCTGAAAAAGTAGTGGAGGACAGCC